ACCATTAAGCAAGTAACCTTTAGTTAACGAGTCGTTAATAAATGAATAAGTTTGAATTATGAAGTTTCTAGCAGTGTAGTAACTTCAAAGTGATCTTAATACCACGAACTAAATTACTAATAACTAGTAGGTAAAATTTCTTTTACCACTAGTAACTAGGCAAATTTGAAGCTAGTTAGTTACTGTGAAATACACAAATTCGAATTTACCAAGTTACTAGTAGAGCAAACGTAAGTTTCATCTTCAGGTACCAAAAAGAACAGTGAAACAACTAATGTCCGCGCCAGAATGAAAGAGGGGTGGGTGTAAGCGCAATAACTTGATAACGGCAACAGCTAGCGACCTGCGGTTTTGATCAATTGAAAGAGAAGTTGGAACGTCTTTTTCTCTGATAAAGTATAAGATGAAATCTTTTAAAAACTAATCATCTTCGAAAAACATGCAAAAGAATGTATGAAAATGACCGGCCATCTAGATAAAATTTCGATTTTGACCTTCGATTTAGATAGAGGGACTTGAGATCTATAGTTCAAGATACAATGCACTTTCTTACTTTTCATTACATTTTCATCGAAATGTCAAGCTATTATGACAAAAAGTTGAAAAACTTCGTAAAAAATCAGCAAAAATTCCCTATTATTTGTGCATGTGAATACATAATTTCATTTTCTCAACGTTAGAATGTAAGAAGAGAACCATTTGTATTGTATCATGGACTATAGATCTCAAGTCCCTCTATCTTCATCGAAGGTCAAAATTGAAATTTCATCTCGATGGTAGGTCATTTTCATACATTCTTTTGCATGTTTTTCGAAAATGATTAGTTTTAAAAGGATTTCATCTTATACTTTGTCAGAGAAAAAGACGTCTCAACTTCTCCTCTTTCAATTGATGAAAACCGTAGCTTCTCAAGAGATACTATTGAAAAAAAGCTTACAGCTACTTAATGATTTTCAATGCCCACTTTATGGTATCCTGTAGCTACCTAATCATTCTACAACTACTTGAAGTTTTGCTTTGATTATTAAGACATCCCACGCTTATTTTAAGTTGTTGTACGTATTTGGAGTTTGGATAACGATTAAAAGATTCCGCAGTCATTTTAACATACTACAGCGGTTAAAAACCTCGTGGCTGATTCTAAAAACCATTGCTATTTATAAACTAATAGCCATTTAAACAATATGAAATATTTCCTTCATTATTCATAGCTATTATAACCTTTTCATGGCTATAAATATGATTTCTTAAATATTGAAAAGCTTTATACTGACGATTATTTGACTAGCTAATAGATCTCTAAGATGCTTACATACTTTTTTTGTATGTGGCTCACAACTTAATATTGTGCTCTCTTTCTTTACTCGCTACTATGTATAAATAAAATACCTCTCATACTCTCACAAAGAATCTATATCTCCATGGCTCATAATATTATGAAGAAGAATAAATGAAATATTTTGGCAAACCAATATGCCATTCAAGTCATCATTTTTAGAATTTTTTTAAAAACCAAGTAGCAATCAAAATTATAAATATTTGAATTCTTTATTACAAAACAAATATGGATTTCAATTACGAACATATGAATTTTTATTTCATAAAACCCTTCACTGATTTACATTAAAGAAATCAATATTTTTCTACAAACGAAATAGACATTGAAACTATTAATATTTAGATTTTTTTTCGAACATCTTACTCTAATTAGACTATTAAAAATTAATTGAAATCAAAATATTTTTGGGAACCCAATAGGAATTCAAATTGTGAATACTGAAGATTTTTATTTGAATTTTTTCATTTAACCGTCTCCCTGCTCAAACTATAACATTAAAAAATTCATTTGATGAATATTCGAATACTTTTGGGAACCCAATAGAGATTAAAATTTTGAATATTTGGATTTTTCTTCAAAAACCAAATTCAAATTCAAATTCAAATTATGAATATTTAAATTATCTCCATTCAACAGCCCCAATAACTATGCCATTCTAAAGATACTCACCTAATCTTCCAAAGGCTGCAGAATGATGAAAACATTACATTAAACTTCAAATACCTATGAAATCTGCAAACACTCGTCGAAAACTTTCAGTACCTGTACGATGATTAAGTAGCTGTAGAATCATTAGATAGCTATAGGAAATCATTTAGTAGCTACAGAAATTCATTAAGTAGCTATAGAATTCATTAAGTAGCTGTAATTAACAAAATACACACGAGTATTATTAAAAGGTATCTCTTTTGAGAATGAACTGATGAACATCACAGGTCGCTAGCTGCTGCCGTTATCGAGTTATTGCGCTTACACTCACTTCTATTTCATTGTGGGGCGGACATTAGTTATCTATTCTTTTACCTGTGGTAGACATCACTATGGTAGTGGTTACTGTAGTAGTGGTAGTGACCGTTGTGCTGATGAACGTTGTAGCTGTGGCGGCGGTTGTTGTGCCAGTAGTAGTTGAGGCTGGGATGCTAGTCGTCATGGGTATACCTGTGGTTGTTGTACCCATTGTAATTGAGGTTATAGTTGAGCTTGCTGTACTAGAGGTAATCGTAGTCGTACTTACTGTGACAATTGATGTGAACGTCGTGGAGCTAGTTATTGTGGTTGTGTTGACGGTTGAGATGCCCGTAGGTGTCGAAGTTGTTGTGCTACTGATTGTAACCTTGTCTATGGTCACTGTGGCAGTGTCGATTGTCGTTGTATACGGGCAAAAAACTGTTCCCATTGTTGTTACAGCTGTATCTTCGTGAGAGAAAGACAAAATGGTGATGTCAAACGTAAAAGAGATTGAATGGAGTCTACCTGAACTCTGAATCAGATACTTGTGCTGTTGGGAGAAATACATACTTGGAACAAGGATGATTGTTGCGGTCAATACGCCCAATACAAATATTAATATACTTTTAAATCTACGAAGATAGGTCAATGTGTTGGATGAAGATTATAAGAGGATTGCATACCGTGCCATTACGATTGTGTCTGTTAAATAGGAATGTAGCGTGTTTTATTGTAAATGCCTGCACGAATAGGTTATGAGATTTTTGTCTGAGCCTGCTAGATAATGTCAGTTTCTAAATAATCTGAAAATTTGAATTGTAGAAGACTTCGAAATTATTGATGGCTATGACAAAGTTTGTTGTATACATGAACATTGATTGGCAATAGTTTAAGACACAATCGGTACGTCAGTGTCTTCTACTTGGGAGAAGGCGGTATTGTGAAAATGTTATTTAAGAAAATTAAAATATTCTTTCGAGATTTATGTACACCTCGATAAGAAATGAGTAAAGAAATAACGATTCTAATTGCTGTCCCGATCCCGTACGATCGAGACCATGAGTGAAGTGAGGATGCGGCTGTTGGTGAAGAGAAGAGGCACCCCCAAACCATGCCCTTGCCTAGACAAGCAGTTTTAGTGATATTTACAGAAAAATGACAGCTTGATGTTAGGTACCAAATAAAATGAGTAGAACTCATATTTTGACTATATACAGTGCTCTAGGCAGGACCGCAGATTATGTGCCAAATCGAATAATCATTCGAATGAAAATCAAAACTCAAGTAGTCTAATTTGTAAAGCTTAAAAATATTCACAAATCATCATATTCGAATTTGCAGAAAAATGTTTAAACTAGAGCCTAGAAAACCAGTGATTCGAAGTATTGAATGCAAGTTTTGGTCATAAAGCTGAAACCTTAGATGCGTCTCGATTATCATATTCAATAACCTCTAAGCTACTGGCAAGCAATTAATCCACTTCACATTTTAATGGCAAATACAAATCTTGAATTACCATCTGATTTTGACGATGTTCATCTCGAAAATCCTTTTCAAAATTACTGTAAAAGCTCCTTCGAAATTGTGTCTCTCAAGAAAATTAGCAGATGGGTTATCATTTTGGCCGATTTTGAAGGCGAAACTGGTATTTTTTACAGCGGTAGTCAATGCACAATTTCTGAAACGTTTCAATCTTGTTATTTAATGCATGTGGAAAATCGGGCCTATTGCGTTGAGATCATGCTACAAGGCTCACCTGAAAAAAATCTTGTACCAATATGGCTTCGAAGTCCTATATTTCTTCCAAAGAAAAATGTAATATGTCAGCAATCAATTTGTATCTCATCAAGCAAAGCAAGATATATTTGCTTCTATTGTGCAAACTGAAAGAAGTTTTGGATGTAAACAAAATTCGGGGTACTATTTATGGCAATGAAATCCTACATGTGTGTTCCATTACAAAAGAGAATACCCTTACGAGCTATTTTTCTCACTGCGATAAAGTTGAAAAAGCATATAGAAACATTGTAAAATATGTAGCNCAATTTGACTGAGACTTTTAAAACCTAATTTTTGTGAAAAAAAAACATATTTCGAAGCACTGCTTTTTATAAAAATGTAGCTGTTATCGAGCTCTATAGATTTATAGAATTTGAAAAATTATCATCGCATTTACTACGTCAATATTCAAACAATCAAGAAGAAAACAACATGAAAGTTTTCAAAAAAAGTCTCATTTTTTTTCAAATTCATTTATTATTATACAAGAGTACTATTCGATGAGAGACTGATTATTCTGTAAACTTAGTACAATGACTAGACTATATCATGTTAGTTTTCTCAATGGTTTCATTAAGGACTTTAGATTGAAAGTCATGAATGCCTGATGCTTAGCTGATCGAAAATCACCTCAATTATCTGTATAAAATCAAAATCCATGACTTTCGGTATCTATTTGAAAAATAATTCATTATTAGAAATAAATATGAAGATAAAAAGCTTACAATCAAGTAGAAAAACATGAGCATTATTATGATTGAATGAATGTCTCTGGTCATTGTTGTCATAAGCTGTGAAATCACATTTGACGTGCGAAATATAACATGTCCTTTGTTAGTGTTGATTGACAATGCCCGTCTGATTGATGAGGAAATATATAAAAGTAGAGAATAACTCTTTCTCATTGTGTTCTATTCTCTTTTCTTCATTCGTTATGCCACGAACGTACAAAAGAAAAATTCAGCCGAAATATTCAGAAAAAGATTTACAAGATGCTTTAACACAGATAAATGCACAAGATCTTTCAGTTGCTGATGCTGCAGTTCATTTTCACATTCCGGTTCGAACAATTTACAATAGATTGTCAAAAAATCAAACAAATCTTCGTCCAGGTGGCAAAACAATCTTAACGAAAGACGAAGAACAGCTTATTGTTCATACAATTATCTTATTTCAACAATGGCAGTGTCCTATCACACCGTCTACGATTATTCATTTAGCAAAATCTTATATGATGGAGCTTCAAAAACCGATCTGTCAGACCTCTACACTTCGAGATTGGTTCAGCGGCTTTATGAAAAGATGGGCAAACGAATTAAAAATAGGAAAAACTGAAAAACTTGAAAAGGTGCGGTCAAATGCTTGCCGTCCGGAAGTTATTGGTAAGGGTTAATTCTAGCTCATCCAGAAAGACTTAATTTCTAAAATGAAGGGTTTCCCAAAGAATTGCAAAGAAAATTGTAAATCATCAAAATTGTTAAGTCTTCAAGATCGAAGATCAGATCCTTTACTTGAAAATATATTCTATGCTACAGAAGTACCGAAAAAGCTAATTCTGATAATTATACCATGAGCTACAGCGTTACAATAATTTGTAGTTAATGAATGATACAACCTTTGAGATATGTCGCATTGAGTTTTGCATGAAACTTGATTTTCTCTTGATAGAAAATTGGTTTAAACATCTTCACAACGTATTAACAAAATATAATTTGTTCAACAGACCAGAAGCTTTATGGAATGTGGACGAGGCTGGTTTCATGGACGATCCTGGTCGAAGATCTGTTGTTATTAAACGTACCACCAAACATGCAATAGCTTCACAATCAGGTACAGGAAAGTCCCATACCACACTTTTAATCTGTACGTCAGCAAGTGGGGAGTAAGTTTTTGTAATATTTTCTATACGAAAAACGTATGATTGGTTTTCTTGACAGAAAGTTGCCCCCGTATATCATCTACAAAGGTGCACGACTATGGACATCATGGATGCCAAAAAACGGATTTCCTGGAACCAGGTACAATTGTACAGATTCAGGGTGGGTCGAAGAACCCGTTTTCTTTGATTGGTTCGTAAACCAATTTATTCCTAGTGTAAGTAATATTAAAAGACCAATTGTTCTTTTCTTTGATGGGCACTACACACATATAAGCGTTCGAATCGTAAAAGCTGCAATGAATCATCAAATTGAATTGGAATGTTTGCCGCCACATACAACAACTATTTTACAACCATTGGATGTTGTTACACTCCATAAAATTAAAACAGCATGGCGGTCACTGCTTGTTGAACATAACATCAAAACAAACAGTAGAGCAATTGACAAAGAAGTATTTACTTTATTGGTAAGTTCCTTATTAAATTTATATATATGTATGTGTGTGCCAAAAATGTTGACCTTAATGTTCAGGTAAGTAGTTGGTATAATGGCTTTAAAGCAACAGATGTCGTATATTCTTTTTGCATACAATTATAATTCTGCATTTCAGATATAAGCTGTCTATACTCCATTTAACAATAGAAATATCAATAATTTTTTAGATAGTTAGCATCAATAACAATTCTGTGTGGAAGTCTTCGATAACATGTGCATATAGTTCTGATAAGCTACTGTCTTTTTTAAAGATTCTAATTTCTGAATTTTTATCATTGCTAACTCTCCGTCGATCTTTCTTTTAGATATCTGAACTATGGAAAAAATATTTGCTTAAAGGACATTGCAGTTGTGGTTTTGCTAAAGCTGGAATATATCCTTTTGACCCATGTGCGGTAAGCTATGAAAAAATGTTAGTACCACCAGCATCAAGAGCAACTACTTCTACTGCTACAAATACTAAACCAACTAGTTCAGATGATTCAGTCATTGACAATGCTCCTCGTCCACGTCTGAAGCGATCAACATCATGCGGTCATTTCTCAAATACCGGTGAGCCACATTATTAGGTTAACCTTCACAGGTATTGATTCAAATATTTCTTACAATAGCCCTTAATTTGACAAGAACAACGTTCTGTGATAAATCCAATGATCATATTTCAAGTTCAATATCAACATCATTATCATCATCACTTGTTGAAAGTAAGTTTTGTCATCGTTAGACCGTTTCTTTGTCTGCATACGTACAATTACTCAGCTACAGTAACTGCATTAGCAACGCATTGACTATATAATCAAACGAGTAGAAATGTAATAACATGATGGACTGTATAAATTGATGAATCAAGAAGGGACTAAGAAGAAATTACTTTTCTGTGAATTTAGCTAATACATCATGTGCACTAACTGATGATTCCAATTTTGTCAATCAAATGCCAACGTCTTCAATCTATAGTAAGTTTTGTTGGAAAAGTTTGTCTGCGTACTTCTCTACGTAAAATTTTCATATTCATTTAACTTAAGCGCTATCTGGTAATGCTGATATTACAACAACTATTGATCCATCAACAAAAACATATAATGAATTAAGTGAGATTTTATTTTATTTGTTCATCCGATATGGTAATCCTTATCCTTTTAGATCATCAATTATCTTATACACCTGTCTTAATTGATCTAACAAATAATGTACCATTTCCATCTTCAAGTAAATTCTCTATATACTTTATGTATGTAGGACACATTTTTAATTTTTGCAGGAACTCAATCTATGTACCAAACAACACCGATATCATTACCACAAGGGGTGCTTATTTCTCCAGCTTCTCAAAATCTTGAAACATTGCGTAATTCTATATCTTCTTCATCGTCGTATCAAAGTCACAACAGTTCAAACACAAATTCTATTTCATTCAATTCTTCTAAACCAATAGATGCATTAACTAATGTAATTGAAAAGTATATGACATCGACCACCTCACAAACTACTAACAAAGGAAAAAGAAGATCAATCGAACGACAATGTGGTGAAAGCCTTACAACTATGGACGTTCTAATGCGTTTACAACAAAAACAAAAAGCGAAAAAAAGAAAAACTACAAAGCCTCTCGAAACAACGCTTCATGGATCAAAAAAACGGTTAGTCTGCTCGATATAATCTTAGTTATGTTCGAAGAATCGATAGACCAATACCTAGCTAATAATAATAATAGTATTCAACAAAAATTATGTCAAATTTTACTATACAATTATAGCAGTATCGGAAGCCAGTCTATTGAATAATTTATTACCAAAGCTTTTTTTAGAACTGATGTTCTTTTCATTGTTGAAATTCTTTTTAGTGGTCGTAAATCTGTAAATCCACAACAATTTCTAAACGACATTGAAGCTATGGATGACAGCAACTCAATACAATATTCACATAGTTCGCTTGCTGCTTTATCAATCAATTCAAATGATCTAACATCTCGGCAAATTACATATGCACCACATACGGCTTCAGAAACAAATTTAATGACAACTTCATCAACTATTCAATATACACCATCTACATATCCATCATATCCAACATGCTACCGATGTTACAGTATTCTATACACAAATTTCACCAATTGTACTAAATGCAATCGATTTTGTTGTCAACAATGTACACAGACTTTTTTTACGTCGAATTCAGTTTTTTGTGAATATTGTATGATTCATGACGCTCTCTTAAATAACTGACTTTGAACAAGTATTCAGGTTTTATTCTCTTATTCTTAGACTTTCCTATTTTATCGTGACAATGAAACATTCTAATATTTATTTTATCTTTTTGCTTACTTGAACATGCGATTTTACTCTAACAATTGACTATTCTAATATTTGTGTACATTCTCATCTATTTCTCATGTATCTTTATTTAATAATAAATGAATTTGAAAAAAAATGAGACTTTTTTTGAAAACTTTCATGTTGTTTTCTTCTTGATTGTTTGAATATTGACGTAGTAAATGCGATGATAATTTTTCAAATTCTATAAATCTATAGAGCTCGATAACAGCTACATTTTTATAAAAAGCAGTGCTTCGAAATATGTTTTTTTTTCACAAAAATTAGGTTTTAAAAGTCTCAGTCAAATTGGCTGAGTTTGCCAAATCACCCCGCATGCTTACGTTGAGTGCCAAATCACCCCGTATGGGGTAATTTGGCACAACTTTTTTTTTGCTGACATTTTTGTAAATGATCAGATTTTTATATGAAAAAATAACTGGAAATTAAGATTGATATAGGCTTATAGAGAAAAATTTGGGCTATCTAATGATATATTTTTTATCAAAAAGTCTTTTTAAATTGTTTAGAAAAATAGCTTTTATTAATCATGTAAAAAATACATGGGATTGCCAAATCACCCCGCATGTATACATTGCGTGCCAAATCACCCCATAAGGGGTGATTTGGCAAAGTAAGTAGTAGGTCTCACTAAAACCTCTGTGGAAACGCTACCAAATGAGATCTTCAAAATCTAAAAACACTGTTGAATACAAAAATATTTTTTCTATATAATTGCCAGCAAAATTTTTTTTCTATCGCTTAAAATAAAAGAATTATGAGCAAAATAAGACAAAAGTTCAAAATCGTGTGCCAAATCACCCCTTCTTACTCTATAGGTTTTTATTGATTTATATGTTAGGAACAACGTCGACAAAATATGAACGTCTAAGTTATAACTTTGGCAAGAATGAATGTCGAAGTTATAACTTAGACAAAAATTTTGCTTAAGTTATAACTTCGGCAAGAAAAAACGTCAAAGTTGTAACTTCGGCAAAATTTTTGCCTAAGTTATAACTTAGGCAATCGGCGTAACTTCGGCACGACATATACATATAAATATTGACTTTTCATAAGTTGAAAAAAATAGATAAATGAAAGTAAACATGATTAACTCATCTATTGGATTAAATGATTTACCTGATGAAATTCTTCTGATTATTTTCAAAAAACTCAACAATCTTGATATACTTTATTCTTTCCATGGTGTCAATAAGCGACTAAATAAAATTATTCAGGATCCAATTTTTACAAGCCGTTTGACGTTTGTAGAATGGTCATTGGATAATTTTATTGATTTATTATCTTGTAATACGATAGTTAATCGATTTTGTTTACAAATTTTACCTGAAATTCATAATAAAATCAAATGGCTTGATCTTAAATCATCATCCATGAAACATGTTTTACGTCTTGCTCATTATCCAAATTTAGATAGTCTTGCTCTTTATAATATTGATGAAGAATCAATTCGATGTCTTTTTACTGGTAAGTAATTTTGAATTGAATTATTTATATTTTAAACAAGTCAAACATTTGTCATAATTATTCACATAGATAACTAGATATGTTTGAATATATATATATATATATATTGTCTTCATAGGTTTTTTTTTCTTATTATATACAATATATTTAGATGAAACTCTTTCATCTGATATTTTCAAAAATCAAATTACAAAACTTTTAATAACAATAAATAAAAATGATGATTATCTTGAAATGCTATTATCAGTGGTAAATATATATGATTACATCTTCAGTGTTTTTACTTGTCTGATTTCTGTCGTATTATATGAATCATCATATAAAAATTGTGTTCGATTAAATTTTAACGATTCATTACATCCAAATATTCGTTCTTCAACTCTTTTGAAATTGAATATCAAAGTACAATGTTTTAATGATTGTCTTTATCTTCTTGATGGTCGTTTTAATCAACTTAATACATTCCATGTTGATTTGCTTAGTATTCGTAGTCCACATGAAGTGAAAAATCAAGTTAGTTTTTCAAGAAAAACTTTTGAGTTGTCAAATAACAGAAGAAGTTTTGTTTTTTAGGGTGATTTACCAAATCTAAAGTGTTTTTCTTTGTCTTGTAACTACAAAACATATGATTATGATGAATTGATTCCACCACTTCTCTATAGAATGTCAAATCTAGAGAAACTCGGTTTGTATCTTCTGGTTTATGTTGAACAAACATTTATTGATGGAAACCATTTGAAAAAAATGATTATTAATCGTATGCCAAGATTAAATAAATTCATATTTTATATTCAGTCATCTATGTATATTGGTAATAAATTCAATTTGCCATCAACAGAAGATATTCGACGCACACTCATTGATTTTCCAGTTCATAAAATAATTTGTTATCTTAATTATTTTCCGGAGGCAGAACAAGGTGTATGTCACATTTACTCATATCCACCTTTAATGAAATATTACGGCGATATTACAAATTATTTTTCAGGTGGATTATTCAAATATGTTCGTGTAGTGTCATTAAATGATGAACGTCCTTTTGAACATGAATTTTTTTTTCGAATTGTTCAATCATTTCCATTTATGGAACAATTAACTGTGATTAATCGTAAACCACAAAATCGCAAACAACCTTATGAATCAAATAATGATAATCAAAACTTATCTGTTATTGAATATTCTTTTCTCAATACACTTGATATTATCAATGTCTATGATGATTACATAGAAGAATTTCTATTTGATACTAAAACGTATTTTAAAAATAATGTTTATCTTCAAATCAATTATGAATCTTTAAAACGAGTAACGCATAATTTTACAAGAGATGCTACACGAATTAATTGTACCAAAATAAATAAATTATATTTACATGGTAAATCAAAACGTTCGAATTCTTTGCAAGAATATTTTCCTTATGCAAAAATATGTTATGTAGAAATGTTTTGAAAGATGGAAAAATAAAAATATTTAAATGAAGAACTATAGAAAACAATAAGAGAAAATTGTCTTGTATATTGCTGTAAGAAAACAAAATCTGTATAAAAATGAAAATGATTATGTGTAATAATTAGTAATCTGAAATAAATTCATTTTGTTTGAATAAATATGTATATAATGTATTGGGCTGGTAGATGATTTCTCCAAGTCTTCTTTTGTTTAACACTAAATTTATTTTACGAGAAAGATATGTAAGATCAATCAAAAATATAATCGCCATTATTTCTCACAATGTTCTTTTATCTTACTGGCAATTATTCGATCTCAGCTTTGTAGAGACTGGCTGGTTATGATTTGAAAAACGGGTAGTGAACTCGTAATCGAGATTATCAAAGTTCTCGTAGTGTTTCTCGCACATATCGTTTCGAAGAAATCGAAACAAATGATAATCTGATAGTGTAAGATCTGATAACTCGAGCGCGTGTGCAGGAACTTCCCATATCAACTGTTCAATTTTTTTTTACAACGTGTAGTTTTTTATTTTCATGAAGGCGAATGACGTCTATTCCATTCTCCAAAAGTGATCACTTTCAAAGTAGAACTTCATGCAAACAGTGCCATTGTTGCAAGTATACATCATCAATAATTGTCTTACTGATATCTAAGAGTTCGAAATATATGAATAACATACATATTTCATATTCAATCTGATGCACAACATTGGCTTGTTTGGGTGCAAGTCTATTTTTTTCTCCAATAATAGTTTTTGGTGAGAACCAAACGATTGATTCCTACAACAGACATTCACATGATAGATCCATTTCTTATCTGTCGTAACAAGTTGTTCGAAAAATGTTTCATGATGCTGTTTGGAGAACAGTGGAATGTAAATCAATTTTTGCTAAGCCAAGTTGTTCGCGGCTAATGGACATGGAATCCAATTTCTGTATTTATTAACTTAGTCGAAAGCGTGAAGATGATGATTCAGTGTTATGTAGGAACAGTTGAGTTGGAGTTCACGGTGAGAGTTACTAATGCCGAATTTTTTTAAAGGTACTAACGACCATTTTTTGAATAAATTTTCAACGGTAGAAAGTGCAGAGGTCGGATTTTCACCTTTAGAAAGAGCAAGGTGAGGGACGTCGATCTGCATAAAATTTGTTAGCGGTTCCTAGGTCTATTGTATAGATGTTTGTAGTCAGATATCTTATTTGTCGTCTATTTTCATGAGTTTTCATGGTAAGTTCACATCAAATTAGACAAAAATGTAGGCAAAATCGTTCTGTACTTGTGCTAAAATTTTCATATTTTAACATCAAAGCGTAAGAAAAAGAACTCAAGAGTAAAACGCAAATATTTGAAAATTTTAGCACAAATACAGGACGATTTGGGCTACATATTGGTCTAATTTGATGTGAACTTGCTACGAAAACTCATGAAAATAGATGACAAATAGGATATCTGACTGCAAACAATTATTAAAAAAGACCTTTGAACCCTATGAATTTTATACAAGTCGGCGTCCCTCACCTTGCTCTTTCTAACGACGAAAGGGTATTATATAGAGTAGATTGCAGCGTAACGCATTACGATAGAACGATATTTATCCAACTAATGTCCATTTCTAAATAAAAGGTGGGTGACTGTTTTTCGAATAACTCTTCAACGGAAAGAGCTATCGGTCTGCGGTTTTCACCATTAGAAAGAGGCTGACATTCTGCATCTTTCTATATACTAATTAACAAAATTAGCTCATAAATCTGATGAGCAGTCAGTGAAATTCAAAGAAGCAATTAAAGTGCTTTGAAAAATGTGTAGAATTTCAGTTATAAGGAGTGCGTTGGATTCGCCTAGTGAAGATCTATAACTCTACATAAACCCGAAATTGTTATTTTATATCATTGAAAAAATATACATGTACACTCAACACTGATGGTCAATAATGCTTGAAACAACCTTTGTTGAAAGCTTTTCAAGGTTGAATAATTCAATGTTTATTAATGAATAGTTCGGTTTTCGACTATCTTGAATAGAATGAAAATATTCATATTGTGGCGAACTCATTCTTTGTTATGTAAAACCAGTGCTAATTGCATTACACCACCGAACGAGTATTCTAGTTGCAAAGCATGATGATACAACATCCTTCTACATATTGAATATATTTTTAGTATGTTTGATTAGAGATGCAGTTATTTTTTTAAATCAATAGTTGGTGATATGAAACAACAACAGAGAAATAGATTTTGTTTATCAATCAGTTATTTCTTCGGCCTTGAAATCCAGTTCCTGACCATCATCTAATAATTTGTCTTCGGGCTGTTCCGTAAAAGCATCGGATTTCTTGAACATTTCCTAATTATTGTATACATGATTGAGATAAGCGGTAACTGTATCTGCTTTTAAGTCTAACATCCATTTTTATGATAATTGTCGAACGTCGCTCAGACGAAAATTGAGATTGTTATCTCGAACATATTGCTTCACCCTGCCAATGCCAACTCCACTGGATTGAGCAAACAATGTTTGACGGCCAAGCTATAAATACTCGTTCCCAGACTAAAAGGAGATAAAAGATTAATGACTTATCGAGTGTGCAGTATGGATGTGGGGTTTTCTTATTTTAACCCACACTCATACCCTACATCCACACCATCACTCACATCCTTATTAGCACTGCTTTTACATGACAAAGAATGAGTTTGCTACAGTATGAACATTTTCATTTTGTTCAAAATAGTCGAAAACCGAACTATTTATTAATAGACATTGAATTGTTCAACCTTGAAAAGATTTCAACAAAGGTTGTTTCAAGTATTATTGACGATCAGTTTTGAGTGTACAGGTGTTTGCAAAAAAACTTGCACAAAATTAATTTTTTTTAAAGCTGTTTTTCTACTATTATAAGCAACTACAAAAGTCATTTTTTGAGTGCTAAACCCTTGACAGATAGACTACATGCTATATATATAGAAGTGTGATTTCTTTCGTTTTCGATCCATATTTATTCAAGTATGTCGTCGACTAGTAATTTAAAAATCGCCAAATTTCAATATTACATTTTTGAAAAAAGGGCATACGATCTGTTCCTCGCGTGTCTTGCGCTCAACTCACCGAGCTCTTTCGTTTGTTATACCATAGTTGAAATTTTGAATAAAAAATTTTTATAAGACCCATTTGTCTATCAACTGTTCCCCGTCGTTTTCACTATATAAAAATAATCTTTTAGTCAAAAAAATTAAGGGACAACCAATAAATATCAGTACGTATAGATGATATAAAAAGCGCAAATATTCCAAACACAAACATTCATGCAATCCGTAGCATTAAATAACCAAAAGATCATGTTTTTTTAGAGTTTTTCAGTTCACAAACTCTCAGGACGAGAATTCTCGTCGTCCGTACTCAAAGGGTTAAATATTTACTAATGAGAAAAAAAAATCTAATGCATACGAAAAATCGCACTTCCTCCTCCCCTTCCAAAGTCTTATATTCGCTGCTGGTGGAGATAAACAAGAAGCAAACAATAATAAATCTTACTTTGTCATAGATCTATGGATAAGTTGTTCTTTTAAATGTAAATAGGTCATAGCACGCTTAGAGAGATAGATATAGTTCGGATTTTTCCACAATTCTCGATACATTTTGAACCTTTGAGTATAGCTTATGAGGTCAACATATGCTTATATGATAGATTTATCCTAACTTGATAATTTTTTTTAATCAAACGTCATGCAAAATGTGTCTTTTCAAGTATGCTAAAGAAAATGTGTTTCATCCGACTAGATAAACAATGAAAACGCATTCAGTTAATTGACTAATATTGTAATAGAACATGGTTGCATGTTTTCGTCTCACGAGGACAACATAATAAGAAGTTGATTCTTCGAATAAAATGAATTACAGAGTATCGAAAACTGAAGAAAATTCTGATTGAATATATTGGTGTATTCACTCATATTACAATATAGTAGTATGTCCAACAGAGAGCGCTGCCAGTCTGTCATCTATTATTAGTTTAATTTATATGTTGCTTTTAAAAATCTATGAGTACTTCAGTATCATTTCAGTACTTTTTCAGCACCTTTTCAGCCTAACTTGGTGCGATGGTGTAGCACTTATCCCCTTGCAAAATAATGTTGCCATAATAAATAATTATATTTCTTTTCGTGAACGATTTTCTTTCCAATAGTATATTCATTATAGGATTAAAGATTATGAAGATTTGCTTCTTCGATTATTCGATGTAAACATAGAATGACTGAAAAATAGTATTTCAAATATTACACATCATGTGTGAACCGATCAAGAGAGAAGAGATGATAAATTACCGAATGATCTTACTCACGAAGAACCTATATTAATTCATGTTTATATAATAGAATGAAAAGCAAATCTTAATTCGCTTTATCTCTATTGTAATGGAACTTTTCGAGCTCAAGGTTGTGGTATTTTATTACCGTATTTTAGTTGTCTTAAATTTTGATTTATATATTTGATGGAAATTTCAATTGATTAGAAAAACAATATGACATCGAGTTAAAGTTGATCTTAGTTCAAACTTCCTATTTGGAAAATAACATTTATTTGATGAAAATTCAGATAGTTTTATTTATTTCTAGTTTTTAATAGACAACTCTGTATTTAATCTGTACGTAGTTCCTATGCGGAGTCGCTCATATTGCTTGAATTAGAAAAATTTTGTAGACTATTAATACAAGGAAACTTAATTCAATAGCGATTGTGAATTGAATAAAACAAAATTTATCGACATTCCTATTTTGAACATAAAAATAAAATTCTGAATAACATCAGTCATTCAATTTCAAATACTCGACAAAATCAATCTTACATCTGATCTTCATACAATAAATTTAAAAGAAACTAAACATTGATTTCCTCTTCTTTAATCATCATTTAATCAGTCTAGAAATCAAATTAAACTGATCATTGCAGATAAATAGTTATAAGTTCTAATAGGAATAGCAAATATGATCAATGAACATCAA